TTCCGATGTAGATATTTTCTTGGTTAAATTGACAGAGGTGACAAAAGTTGCTGGGCGGATAGGAGTGTTATCCAAATTTATGATAGAAACATCTTTCAAGATACTTCGTGATTGAGGGAGGAGTATCGGAGGATGGGGAATGGCTAGTGGAGCACTGGGCAGGTGACAGTAGTTATGATCATTAAAAGAAAAATTATTAAAGGCAGACAAAGAATTTTCTCCTGAAGATAGTAATGATGGAATAGCCGAGCATCGCAACTTTCTTGAACCATCGACCCTCCTCTGCTCCCACTGGTCTAAGCCAAAATGCATCTAAACATTAAAAAAGGGTACGATTAATTTATTAACAGAAAATTTATTAACAGCAGTAGAAACACATAGTGATGCATACTTCGCAAACTGTGCTATTTGTATAAGGTTGCCAATTTGGACGGTTTACTAATGAAATCCATTTTGCACGCCTTTTTGGTTCTTTCGGAAATTGAAACAATATAAGGCCTTGCTTTTCCTTTACATTACATCCACTAACTGAACAGTGCCTCATCTAGAAATAGATCAAATAAACGAATTATAATGAGAATCCGACAGGATGAAAAGATTACGCTGCATATATGTGTGCAGGGCACAAATAAGCAACCCACAATATCAGTAAAGTCTTCTGCAGTTATTTAACAACACAGAAAAGATATTTCTACTTACCTTGATCACAAGAAATAATAATATGCATTTATAAACTTTAGTCAACACTGTCAGTTGTATAATGCGGGCCTAACATGACCGGCTGTAACCAACCAATCAGAAGTAGGAATAATATAGAAGTCTGTGATTCCCACTCTGTCGCCGCCGCCATCTTATGATCGTACGCCCTGCTGTCTATTGGTCTATAACCGACCAATCAGAAGGAGAAACAAGTTTGCGTTTCTCTACTAATATAGGACTCTAGCACGAACGTGCAGAGAGACGATCCCGGCCATTCTCAACTATTCGGTCAAACGTGAAACAGTTCGAGTCACGTATCGGGTATTCTGCCACTAGAATCTTTTATCGAGAACATGTTCAAGTTCTGTTCAATACTTATCGCTTGTACCGTATTAATTATTCAAGGTATTGCCCTTGTCGTTGCTAGTGTCGTTTTCAACGCTAATATCGTCTTTAACGCTCGTGTTGTATCAATCGTTCATGTTGTAATGTATTTCGGTGCCGTGAATTCTCACACGAGTCCGTAAAAATCAGTTATCATTCGAAGCACGAATAACGTGTTTGAACACGTAAATGAAGAAAGAAGAACGACGTGTATTCCGGGCTCAGCCGAGCCTTTATATACTTGACGGTGGACATTCGAGCGATATATATTGGAAATCAAGAGCGGCCATCATTAACTTCGTTCCTTTCACGTGGCGAGACGAAATAGCCGCCATTATTCTGATTATTTGGCTCGCTTACAGCGAATGAGTTTCCCACTCTCAGTGGATGATTTTCCGTACAAATAAATGTCGGATTATCTATAATTAATTGGTGGATGCTGCAGATTCCACAATAAGGTAACATTTGGATTTATAATATCAACTATTCGGTTCTTTCGTCAGATATTTCCCTGATGAAAGTGATACTTTACAAGTGAGCACGTGTTAATTCGAATATTCGGTTACAGGACATAATGTTATTTTCTTATGATTATCCTTAAAGAAGGATTCTCATGATTAATTCTGATTAATAAGAAAAGGATATAAATTCTTATCTCGGGACGTAAATTCAGTGGTATTCCAATTAATATTTCTTATTAATGCGCATACAAGGATTAAAGTTATCCTGACGTTATATTCATTGTGTTTCATGTACATTAAAGATTTATATTTCAATCACTTTCTAATATTCTAATAATTATCTTGCGAATTATTCATTATATAGTATTACGTTCATGCGGTGGTGAATTAATGTGTCAATCAAAGACTGCCTAGTACAAGATTTAGTTCAGAAAATCAGTATTAAACTTACAGTTAATCCATTTAATAGAAGAATAAGAGTTATTCATTAATTAAGAATAAAAGATTGATGCATTATTCCCCAGATTATACAAATTGTATCTGAAGTGATATTCTTGTATTAATTGATTCATGTTTATGTTTCCAACGATCCTTTCTTTAGAAAAGAATAACTAATTCTGAACTTGACTACGTCAAGAGAGATTATAAGAAAAATTACTATGACAATTTTATTTTAATGAAGCTTTTATATGATAAAGAAGAGCCTTAGTAAAACTTCAAAGTTTATTAAAATACATATTTAAAGAAAGGATTGTCCTATGATAATCATTTATTTGTTCCTTTATGCATTTATTGTATTCACATTGTATCTTATATTATCTATGTACAATTTTGTTCACGAATACTGAGAAGGTTTTAGGGCAGTTTCCCTTCTCCTATGCAACAAATGTTGGTATTCGTTGTATAGTTCTGCCCACTTTTGACTTTCTTTGGATTACATTTCTGTTTCATGCCAAATGATAAAATTGATTGTTTTTTTAACTCAGTAAATTAATTGTTCTATTTCTTACTTTGAATATCGTTTCTCCTTCTCCACCATCCTTAGCTTACGCAACATACGAGGCGTGTACAAACTAATTTTCCAAAGCAATAGGAACTAAAGCAGTAGTACTAAATACTATAAAAATATAGTCACAGAAACAACATTTGTCGACTATTGGTTGATAGTAAAATATTATAGAGCCTTAACTATAATTACACAGTTATATAGACTCCATACAAATAGATATGACAATAACATTTTTTCAGTTTGGGCGGCAGCGCAGGCTCGCGCGGCAAGAGAGTTCGGCTCGCGCCCGTCAGGCTGAGTTTCCACTGAGCGCGTCACGCGTCGCGTCGTCACAAGTTAACCAATCAAAACATCCCATTTTATTACATTCTTGTGACGGGATCGAAATGGGATGTTTTGATTGGTTCAACTCGGACGACGCGACGCGTGACGCGCTCAGTGGAAACTCAGCCTTAAGGTGCGATTTTATTGACGCTAGAAACTAGCGGCAGCGTCAAGAAAATGTAGTAGGGGAAGAAATTCCGTTGAATTTTGTGATACGCTAAAAAGTTGAGACGGTCTGAACTTCTTCCCCCACTACATTTTCTTGACGCTGCCGCTGGTTTCTAGCGTCAATGAAATCGCACCTTTACGCAGCGCTTCGCCCCATATGCAGTATCCTTTTCACGTAATTAAAATTCAACATCGATTCCTATAACTAGGGCCGCTCAGCAGGGTTTCTCCAGCGCCAGCGTTCTCAGGCTCGCCAGTTAGGGCGTGCTCACTCACATATATTATTCAATTTTCAATTACAAATCTATATATGATAATTCTTTTTTATGTTAAAATTCTTATTTTTCATGTAATGCTTTTTCACTTAATATTTACTTTTAAGTATTTTAGTTTAACAAATAAGAAATTATTGTTTAACCAACTCTAAAAATTATATTTTCATTACTACAAAAATTATGTTTCTTTTATATTTCAAAAACTAGTTGATATCACTACAATATTATTCATGTTAATACAACATACTTTTTACATACACAATATATTTTTCGTTAATGCGACTATTTTTTCGTAGTTTATCCAACGATTTACTACAAAGTAAAATTACCATATTTTTTAGTTTATATAACTTATTTATTGTTGTTATTAGAACAATCCAGTGATTCTCTCCTACCCAAAGCCTATGGTCTATCGAAAATTCATAAGGAGAATTACGCGTTTAGAATTATAGTCTCGTCCGTAAACACAGCACTGTATGTCTTGGCTAGCTATCTGCACGATATAATCTCGAAGAACATTCCCCATGCGGTTGGTCATGTAGACAATAGTTTCGATCTATACAAAGAACTTTTTAACAAAAAAAATCTCCAGTTCAGATGTATTAGTCTCATTCGATGTAGTGCCGTTGTTCACTAATATTCCTCTGGCTCTCGCAATTAAAGGGGTCAGCAATCGATGAAGATACATAACAAAAAAGACAAATAAACCAAAAAAAGAGTTTTTACTTGCACTCGAGTTCGTTTTAACATTTTGTTCGGAAAATATCACTCCGATTCTCAAACGACCATTATCTCGAGCCGACCAATCAGAGACCGGCTCGTCCGGTTACGCTCTGCTAGTCGATACATCGATCGTCGCGGCAGATCGCACGCCCATCTCGGTACGAGTTCCGCTCTCGCCATCTTGTTTCGATTCTCTCTGCAAGACGGATGTGTCTCGAATTATCTCTTGCAAGACGACTTGAGCAAAGCGTACGGAACCCGATT